GATACTGAACGTGGTCTCAAGGGACGTCCGCGCTCGGCAGTGTCGAGGCCGGACGGCAGTGAAAAGTCAAAGTGGAAGTCGTCGAAGCGTTGTTGTTCCCACTCGGCGTCTGGGTCGTCGGCAGCGAAGGAATGTTCACGCCAGCCTTGAAGAAGCAACTGCTCCTCACGCGAAAACAGCTGCTTGCGGACTTTTTCGGGTAGAGAGAAGAAAAACTCAACGTCGGCGAGCGAGATGTCGTAGTCGAGGACAGGTTTTTCGAGTCTGCGTCTGCGGCGTACGGCACCCAGTGACAACGTGGGCCGGTGGAGTCTGGAGGAACTGGCCTGGGAAGAGCGGCCTGATGTAGGCTCGTCCAAGGCCTGCCGTTGGATCTGCAGACGCTCCAGGGACGAAAAGTACTTTCTCCTAGAAGGGGACTAATTAGCGACGACATTCTCAAGGGTGCCCTTATGCTACTGCAAGGTACAGCCATTCATGGTGGGGGGTGGGTATCGGTATCTGCACGTGACGTATGCGCCCCTATCACACTGGGGAGCCAATCACAAGCGGCGAGTTGGACTTACTGGACCGAATCGGGCAGCGCCTCGAACTCCGCCTGTGGGAGAGGCAGCGTAGTGCTTCTGGGTTTGCTCCTCATGGCGTCGGCTGGAATACTCAAAGTGGGTGATGGCGTTGTCGTCGGTTTGGAGCCAGTGACAAGAGGCATCCGGCCAAGGGGGGTGTGGTGTTTGTGGATGGCAGGACGAGGGATGCTCCGAGGCCGCCCAGGGCGCGGTGAGGCAAATGGGCCGGCTGTGAAGGGTGGTGTGCAAAAGTACTATGTAAGTATTGCCTGTCTGCGTGTATGTATGCAGGTATGGTGGGCATTCAATGGCGGGCCGGCAGGCTATCCGACGTGGAAACAAGGGCCAGGCTGGTGATGTTGAAGAAAAAGAAAGAAACTATATGGAGCGCGCAAGAGGAGAGGGTAGCAGCTGGAGGCTGAGTAGGCCAGAGCAGCAGGCAGAGAGCTCTAGTGAGGCAGCGTGGTTACGACAGATGCACCGGGTGGGCGGGAGCATATTGGGTGACGGGATGCCACATGTGCAGCTAAGGCAGCGGTGCAGCAGCAGTCTCCTGTCCAGTCCTGTCCAGTCCTGTCCAGTCCTGTCCACGGCGCCCACAGACACGGACGGACCTTGGTAGAGCCGTAGTGGTTCCTCCGAGAGTCAATCCACAGCCATGAGCCTCTGCAACTCTCTGCTCTCCACCATTGGCCTTCGCGGTTTCAGAGCCGCCGTCTCCACCCTCCGACCGCCTGCGGGTCTCGCGGCGCTCCTAGCGTGCGACACACCGCATGGCCGCTCCTATACCCGGTCCATGGGATCGCGCACCAGCTAGCCTTTGTCCATGGCTCCCGTATCATGGACGTCCAGAGCATGCGTATTTGCTTCTGGAATATTGCCTGCTGACCGCCCCTCCGCCCGCCCCAGAGCACAACTGCCCTCCAAGCACGTCCCGTGCAACGTCCCGGCCATGCGCTGTGCAACATGGCGCAAAACAAAGCAGCACAAAGCACTCACTCGTCTGCCCCCCCGCCGCCTGGTTCATTGCTTGCCCATGCTGGTCTTGTGGCATGCAATATCAAAGTGTGTGTGTGTGTGTGTGTGTGTGTGTGTGAATCAAAGTGAACATAGAAAGTACAGCAAGTATCCAACAAAGGAAAGGGTATCTCAAGAGAAGCGCCTCCGCTACCCGCCGTCATCGGCCAACCGCCAGCCCCCAACTGCAACCAAACCGCCAGTCTCAACTTCCTCAGCTCGCCAGCAATCACCTCCTTCGGCACATACCCCGCCATGCCACCACCACCCCAAGCACTATAAAGTGGACTTTGCACACTTGTCCTTAGCCTACCCAACAGCCTGCACCCCGCCCTGTTCCGGCCCCAACCACTCCCTCCCTCCCACATACATACCCCCCTCCACCGTGCACATCCCATCTTGCTTGCTTGCTTGCTTGTCTAACGAAATCCCCCCTCGTCTGCAGGCAACTGCCTGTCGCTCTCCTCCTCAAGCTCCTGCAATGTCATCTACACGTGACACGTCAGTACAAGGACCACCTGCCACAACCATACCACACCAAAACACTTACAGTAATACTCGTCGTCCAGCCCTTCGCGGCTAGGAAGCACTGGTTCCTCCAGCCCTACATCCTCGTACCGCACGTTTAGCAGCCGGATCTTGAGCCCATAGCCGCCGATAAATGTCACAAGCTTGTTGGTATTCGCCGTAATCGGCTGTTGGTTGAGAAGCATCAGCAGCCCATCAAGCCACTCGGAAGCAAGGGTATGGCTTTGAGGGTGCAGATGCAACAGTACGGTTTCTTTGCGTCCTGCACCCGACCCACTCGACGTCTGCCGCGCATGATTCGATAGAGCCATGTACCCGTGGATCGTGATCTTGGTCGATGTCGACGCCCGCTCATGGCCTGGCAGCGTCCTCACCGTACTGTCCGACGATGCTGTCGATGGGGCCGAGGCCGAGACATTGCTCACAACTGATGAGACAATGGACAAATCGACTGTTGATTTCTGTGTCAGCCGCCGCGAAAATGCAACTGGGCCCTGGGATGCACCTAGTGGAGCGTGTAGTACTTACTCTTTTCCTGCAGCGCATCTAATTTCGGCTCTGTCGCCGTCTTTTCGTTAAAGTCAGCGTAGTGCAGGTATCGCCGGTTGTGTGACAGTCGAACAAAGCGCCACGACGAAGGCACTGCACGGTTGCCAGCTACTGGACCGGTGTTTGTGCCAAAGTCTGCTCCCATTGGGAACCATGCACCTTGAAGCAAGCATCTTATCCGTTGCTCCTTGACAAACTGCAGCGCCTCGTGATTGAGCTCGTCGCGAACTTGGCTGTGGAGTGTTAGCTTGGCACGGCAGACAATAGGCAAACTGCATACCGCAGGTGATGACCCCATGCATCTTCATACGTCAGTTCAAGCACCTCCATCTGCAATTCTCGCAGCCGCTTGAGCTCAAACTCTACCAGCTCCTCTTCAATTTCCTTGACATCTTTCATTCGTGGTGCTTGCCCGACCACCTGCTCAATCAAGATGCGAATCAGTTCCTCAATCTTTTCAAAGTCTTCAATCTGCGCCCCTGCTGCTTTCCACAGTCGGATAAAGGCATTCAGACCACTCGTGTGTAACCTAGACCAATGCAGCAACAGAGGCTTAAATGCTCGGTCAAAGTTGGCCCGCGAGTCGGTATGGCGGAGAGACTCAACATCATCCAATTTATCCACTTCAAAATGCTCATATAGTGTTTGCGTGACCGAAAGACTCGCCCGAGCAATCGGACACCGTTGCTCGGCTGGCTCGGCCGACTGCTCCAGCAAAAGCTTCTGAAAGCCATCTTCGTTTTTATAAACAAAGTCGGTAATGTCCATAAGCCCCAAGAATCCAGTCCCGTTGAACTCCCACGCCGGTGACTCCGTCTCGAAACCCAGCCGGCTCCATTTTTCCGGATGGTGCTTCTTGCTTCCTTTTGGATCTGATGATGACCTGTCTGGTTGACTCGCAGTATGTAGGCCCCGAATAGCCCTTCGATGGTCGGGATTTTCCAGATCCACCTTTTCTTCCCTCCAATTCCTCAGCAACGTCTTTGTCAATGACTGAAAGTCCAACAATGGGTGAGCCAGATCTTGTATTGCGGTACTCTGCATGAGCCCATACACGCTCTTGATCACGCCCAGCTCCTGGAGTTGCTTTATGAATTTGGGCCATTCGAAGGCGGCATCGTTTGCAATGGCGTCACGCATCAATGCATTGATAAGCTGGAGGGAGTTTGCACAGAGCGCATGGTCGGCCGACGCAATTTTTTCAACCAAGGATGATAGGAACTGGGGTTGAGCGTCGACGGCTGGCTTGAGGCGCTGGAAGCCTGTGGTGCCCGAGTGGGAGCTTCGGTGTGAGGGATGACCGACGATTACGGCGAGGACTGACATGGCACCTCGGTTGACGTTGACAAGTGGTTGTGCGACGACCAGGTCGACTATCTATTGTGCATTGGTTAGATATGCTCACACACACACAACAGTCTCCCCTCTCTTGACTTACTCTTGCAATCAAATCATCCGTGACATGGTCCCATCCTTTATCCAGCTCGAGCAGGCGGGCCAGAGAAGTGAGACAATAGGCCAGTGTATTTCCGGTCGAGTGTAGGGCCAGGAAGCGCAGTTTGGGCAGGCCCCCTTCGTAAATGAAGACATCAGCGAATGAAGGGTCGCCGATGGCATTCTGGAGTTTGAAGACGGCCATCTTGCGCACCGACTCCTCCTCCGCGCCGAGGCGGGCGACCAATTCAGAGACATTGACGCTGTCCATCTTCTCCAGCTTTCAGCGTGCAGGGGGTATCACAGTGTGGGGTATGTGGTAGTAGTGCTGCGGATGGCGATGTCATGCCAATCACGCGCAGGCGGCGAACATGACACAGACGCAGGAGTGCCAGGCCGGGGATATATGCAAGCGCTGGTTGTGCGCAAATGCTGCTGTTGTCGCTGTTCTCGGTGCCGTCGCCCGTCGCGTGTCGAGAGGAGCGTGAAGGGGAGACTTGGCAGCACGTGAAGCGCGTCGTGGGGGTCAAGTCAGCCGGTCCCCTGTCGGATGCCTGATTCGGCCGCTAGTCAGGTACGCCGAGCATGTGCCTTGTTTCTAGGCCCGACAACAGCCCGTCCGTCCTCTCTCGTCGTCGTTACCGTCGTCGACTTCGTATTCAACAACATTGAGCCCAACCCTCCGTCGCTCTCTTCTCCCCTCGAGACCCACATCCCACACCCTGTCTGCAGCCGCTGCCTTGCCCGACACGTGTTGTGCTGTTCTGGTACCAGTGTCTCTTGGTTGCATCATCGCACGTTCCACCTCTTTTCGCCTTCTTCAAGACCACCAGTACTCCTCCTTCACCTCGCCGTAAAACCATCACCATAACAACAACCACAACAACAACCGCCGCAACCGCCACCATGGTATACATTACCTCCGATCTCTTCGGCCCCAGCACCACACGCGATTGGCAACAAGACAACACATCTCACAATTGGCACACCATGGCCCCCGACCAGCCCGCCGCCGGTCTTGGCAAGAGAAAGCGACAAGCAGGCGACGACAAACCACAACTCTACGAACGCCCATGTACTTCCCTCCACCCTTCCGGCACCGAAATCTCCCCAAAGAGCATCCCGCGTCACCACCGCTCCTCTCTAAGCCGCGACGCCTCTCGTCTCCACCACCCCAATACCCCGCCATTCGACTCCAACAACACCCTCTCCTACGCCTTCCTCCCCTCAAAGGCCCACGACTTCTCGTCAGACCGCCGCCCCGTCAAACAACTCAAACGCTTCAGTCCAAAAGCCTCCCTCGTAAAATCAACCTCGCACCTCATGGATATCGATCTCGACGTTCAATCTCCTACTACTACTACCTGTGGGACCCCGGCACATCACCATGCGGTCTCCGACCTGCGCTCGTGCCATGCCTGCCAAAAAGCGCCGACGCGAAAGAAGGATCTGGAAAATTATCTAGACTGCAGGAGGTGTGAGGGACGGACGTGCTTCATTTGCGCCAGGCAGTGTGTTGGCTGTGCCAAGGCGATTTGTAAAAAGTGCATAGTGGAGGTCGGGGAAGAGGGCGATGCCTGGTGTTTGGATTGTTACTCGCGGACCATCAATTCCTGAACATACGGGAATTATTTTGAAAAAATTTCCCAGTTTGGACTTTTTTTCTTTTTCTTATTTTAGCCTCCTTTTCTTTATATTTAGTGCTCATTTGATCCTTTGGCGCTGACTTTTTCGCCTTCTTTTACTTTTGGATTTTTGTTTTGTTTGCGTTCCTTATCGTACAGCGAGCGTTTACATCTTTTCCTTTGGCGTTTCTTCATCTCATCAACGTACCGATGCAAGCGATAATTAAGAACGATTTTCCTACATATTTTTTTTGGATACAGGGCATGTACATAGTAAGTACGAAGGATCTTCATACATTATGAACCTAGGCTGGACCACGAAGCAGTCGTGGATATAGATATGAAGTACATAGTAACGAGTATACAAAAGACCGACCCGAAACAATAAATTCATGTCTAGTATTGATAATTGCCTTACAAAGTCAGCATCATGAATTCCATCCTTTTCTTACTCCTCATCATCGGTATCCTTCTCCTCGACCACACTCTCCGTCTCCCCCGTCGGATACCTTCTCAGCCGCGAACTTGCCCCCTCACCATCCTCAGCCTGACTATTCTTTGTGCTGCGCCTACGACTCCTACTGCTCACAACACCTGGAAACAATTTCGGCTCCCCGTCCAACGTGACGGAACTAGTTGAACGCCTTAGTCCCGTGTCTGGTTCCTCTAAACCGGCAGGTGGGGCCTGGCCGTCTACCGGCTGCTGGACTACAGGCACGGCGTTTGGGTTGACGGTCATGTTGTTGTTGCGGTGCGAACGGTCGGCGTTGCTGCCGTCGTGGGCGCTGGTTGGTGACGCGGGTTGAGTTTGCGGGTTGATTGCGTCGGCGGTGGATCCAGAGGGCTTGAGGCGGGCGACTTGAGCTGGAGGGAGCATGGAGAAGATTTGTTTGCTACCCGCAGCTGAGGCGTGCGTTGGTGACCCGGGGAATGGGACTCCTTGGAGTGATTTGGGAGTCTGGGGCACCTCGGATTGCAGATTAGAGCTGGTTAAGTCGTGGCTGCCGGCCTGGGCTGCGCGCGTGTAGCGATCAATCCTGGGTGGTGTTAGTATGAATATCTTAGAAAAGCTTCAAGCGCAAAACTTACATAGCTAATTCTCCCATGAGAGTCTCATGTCGGAATGCTTCGCGGATGCTGGGCACATTGGACCTTGCCATGTCGTTACCCGCAACACCGGGGAGATGGTAGTTGCTACCCAACCACTTTTGCTTGACTACATGCTCAAAGCCACTCTGCTCAACTGAGTGTTTGGCTAGCTCACACATATCTACAGCACTCAGCTTGTAGATCTGCGCCGCGACTGAGTACTCTTCAATCAGAGGCTCCTTGGTAAAAGCAAACTGGAGAGGATCATCCGTTGACAACGAAACATTCAAACCCCGTCTGAAGTAGCTCATGAATGGGTTTCGCTCATACGCCAGGAAGAGTGCGTTGTTACTGAGGGGCGACATGGCCACTCCAATCTGCTCGAGGTAGAAAATGTATTGGAGAAGAGGCACCTTTCGGAGCAATAGGCCATGGCTGATGCTGTGGCAGCAAAGAACCGCTGCAGCCAAATGATCGGTATCACCAGCCTCACCACAGTGCGGACGGAGGAGGAACGTGTTGAAGCCCCGCTGTTTTCTCCAAACGTTAAGTGACGACATATTGGCAAACAGATAGTACATCCAGTAGCTGTACGGCGGGTTCTGCTTCGTAGACCACTCGCTCGGGAACGGGAATTTCTTGTACACGCGGCGCTCGACTTTGCTTTCGTCGTCAACACTATCAAAGCCAATGACCCTCTGCAAGAAGATGTGGAGCTTGGGGTGACTTGAAGGGTCTTTGGTGACTTCAAACAGAGGCTGGAATACATTTACGATAACTTGCTGGAAGTTATCCATTAGACCAGTTGCCTTGTATACATCAAACAAGCGCGGAACTTGAATCAGCCATCTAACGTTGGGCGAGAAGAGCTTATTGTCAACAACCCAAGCCGCAAGCTTGTCCCACTCGTCAATGTCTCGGCCGTAGATGGAAATGCGCCATTCTACGAACTGGTACTTGCTCGCCTCGAGATCGGAAATGACTTCTTTGGTGATTTCAGCCAAATAGCGGCCTTTGACAAAATTGTCTGTCTTCAAGAAGATGGTCCTTAAACGCGATTCACCAACTGGGTTGTACTTCAAGTTGAACTTGTCAAAGCGATGGAATGAGTCGGTATGAGCCTGTCTGGTTAGCATTGTCGTATCAAAAGCGTCAAGTCGTTACTTACATGCATATCTAGTGTGTCGATACTCAGGTCGTACGCCGTCAAGTTGATGGATTCAAATACTTCCCTCAGCGTGAGATGCTTGCCATCACGGTACAGTACTACCTCGTCAGGGGACTTCTTCATCTTGGACTTGATAAAGCGCAGCAGATGCTTCTGGTTCATGCATGCAGAATGGTGCACGTGCGTATCGACCTTTCGTACATTGTAAAAGTCTCTGTGGGGCACCTTCTTGGTATCGGCTGTCTCCTGGTACTCGTTGAGCAGATAGTAAAGATTGAACTTTCCCTCGAGGTATTGGAGACGGCGGAAGGCGAAACTTTTGCTGGGTCCATCGGAAGATATCTCCAGAATGGAATCGAGATCAATGTAGAATTCGCGCAACGTCGGGATCGCAATGATGGGAGTATCAAGCTCAGCAGATTTAGCAGTCTCATATACTTGGTATACGCCGCTTTCGTCAAGCCGGAATGACATCTCACCAGGACCGGGCACGGGAAGGCACTCTTCCAAGTGGAAATCTTCGCCGATGTTGGTACCCATTTTACGAGGTGGCTTAGGCATCTCATTCGGCTCTAGAATACCACTGTTTTGCATGCTACTAGCTGCATTGCGACGCTCTTTGGAGGTGTCATTCCACACAGGTTCTGGAGGAGATGGGTAAATGCGCCAAGCTGGATCATCCTTGGGATTGTCGAAGGAGCGTTGCAACGACAGGCGGATGTACTTGTGGCGCAGATCGAGCACTTTCTGAATGTTTGCGTAGATGGAGCTGAGCTCAGCAGTGATGCTGGAATCAGACATTGCGAATCCTCCTGCCCCTGTTCCAACGCCTATGCCTGCACCTGCACCGTGGATCCCTTGTTCAGCCAGAAGAGGCTTGTGTTCATGAGGGAGATTGGGGTGTTGGCCATGCGATCGGGCCTGTTGATCAGCCTGAAGAAAATGGTCGGTCTCATCGTGGGCACCTATAGGGTCAGGGACGTGCTGGGTCATGTGCCGACGAGGTTCATGCGACTGCTCTGCGTGTGACGAGCCGATGGGTATGTAGGGTCGTTGGACATGGTTGGCATGGCTGACATTGCTCTTCCGCGAGCGAGTACTCTCGGCCCTGCTGAGAAAGTCGACACCGTCAGTGCCACCGAAATTGGCAGGGAATGTCTTTGCGCGCATGGCGGGGCTGTGCATGTCTGCTTGGGGGCCGCCGTGCTGTGTCTCGAGCTGATGCCTTTGGTAGAATTGCTTGGCTTCGGTGTGGCTCATTTGCTTCTCAGCAGTGTAGTCATAGAATGCAGTCCGGCGCTGTTTGTCGCGGGGGAGTATGCCGTCATCGTCGTCTTCCATGTTGGGGCCGGCACTTCGCTGCGATGCTGAAGTCGCACCATAATTGGTTTTTGTACGCCCGCTGCCGCCAGGCTCTGTGTCCGAGTCGTCTAGATCGAGCTCGTCTTCCTCTGACGAAAATATATGATCGTCGTGGGCAGGGCCAAAGTCTGGCGACGCATCTGCGTCTGCAGAGAATGCTCCTGCAGGACACATTAGTATGGTTGGGCAAGAGATGGAAGGGTCAGCGAGGGCTACCTTTCAGCATGGTGGCATTGAAGGGTGGGAGTTGTGAATGCCAGGGTGGATGCAGAACTGCGAACAAGACTCACACACACAAGCAACGCGCATCGGACCCCGCCGACCAGTCGCCTTGCCCCGTGCCATTATGTCAAATATGGACTCGATGACTACTGCATGTCACGCCTGCTCCTAGCGGCATGGCGAGAAGGACTGAGCAAAAAGATATGGAGGCTGCACGCAGGTATGATTGCGCTCAGGCAGGTCTCCCACGGCCATGTGCACATAAATACTGCGTATGGACTAATTCGCTAGGCCCCTCACCCTCGGCTTGCAATGTTGTCGGCGGGGGGGAAACTCGACCATACCATGTCTGTCGCCCGCCCTGGCTAGGATCGACGCTGCGTCACGTGAGCGTCCTCTAGCGCGGGACTACCATGCATGTCCAAAAATTTACCGCATTTCGACTTCTGGAATTTCGAGTGACTATCGCCAGCCTTTGTCCAATCGCCACCATGTAAGACATACCCATACGGCACATTGACCATGCATACTTACCACTCATGAAGGTTTCTTCTCCGTCGTGCTGCCGCCCGCGCCATCAGTGCCTCGCCCTCCAAGGCGTATCTGGTGCAGCCGCGCTCCATTACTACTCTCACACCCTCGGCGTTCCGTCCAAGGCAGCAACAGTGGTCAATTGCCTCTTTCCAACGAAGATTCGCTAGCGATGAGGTGACCAAAACCGACTCAGCTGAGGCTGCTGCCGCAGAAGCCTCCGAGAACTTTGCCCAGACAGCAGCAGAGGCGCCTGTCGAGGACAACTTGACGCCCGCACAACAAGAGGCACAGGCAGAGCCCACCGACAAGTCTGCCACTGTCGGCATTGATGCGCTCGAGGCTGCCGCAGCCCAGCCTAGCCCGCGGGGCAAGAGGGAACGAACATCCAAGAATATCGAACCCCATAACGTGCTTTACATTGGCAACCTCTACTACGAAGTCACCCCAGACCAGCTGAAGCGTGTCTTCTCTCGCTTTGGTGATATTGAGAGCGTCAAGATTGTCTACGATAACCGGGGTCTTAGCAGAGGGTAATATTCTCCACTCCAAATGGCTCAATATTGACTGACGCTGATTGTTTAGTTTCGCCTACGTCGAATACAAGAACGTCAGTGATGCGCAGGCTGCTATTGACAACCTCGACATGCAGGTGTTTGAAGGCCGCAACCTTGTCGTTCAGTTCCACACGCCCAAGTATCAGGCGGCAAAGGGGCGCGCATCCAATGGCAACGAGCCCAACCCTCCATCCAAGACGCTCTTCATCGGCAACATGTCGTTTGAGATGTCAGACAAGGACCTCAACGACCTCTTCCGCGACATTCGCAACGTCTTGGATGTACGTGTTGCCATTGACAGGAGAACCGGCCAACCGCGAGGCTTTGCTCATGCAGACTTCATCGATGTGGCCAGCGCCACCCGTGCCAGAGAAGTTCTCAAGGAGAAGGTCATCTATGGCAGACAACTCCGCGTCGATTTCAGCAAATCCAACACAGACACACAGCGTGAGCGTGGTAAGCGCCAGGATTCGTTCCAGGAATAGATGAAAAGCAGATGACGGTACGAGATGAAATGTAAAACAAATATTGAAGGGGCTACCTCTCATTTGGAGGATAGACGAATGACGACTGCAGGGGGATGGGTCTCTGTACGATATGTATGACTGGGACCTGTGTGTGGTCAGTTATGCCCCATGTTGATATACAAGTTGCTTGTTTCATAGTGGAGAGCGTCCGGCGTTGCCATTCCCCTCTTCATTTGTACATCATATAGGGTGAAAAATCCATGCGTCTTTGATGGTTTCTAAATAAGAGTTTAATCGATGCATCGATGTCAAGCCAATGCCGTGGTTGCATGCAGGGCAGCGGCGAAGTGTGGACCAGGATTCGGCAAGCGCGACCGGCTGCGACCTCGGCTTGCCCCGCGTACCATCTCCACCCGGCATCTGCTGCTGATCAATTACTCGACGCGCGGGCTCCGCCTACCCACCTCCAGCGTCCTTATTTGTCTCTCTGTTCACCACCTCTTCTTCGTCGCGCCGTAACCAACTCATTGACATTATTCACTCATCACAAATTTAGTCATGTCCTTCCTCGGCGGTGCCGAGTGCTCCACGGGGGCCAACCCGCTCAGCCAGTTCACCAAGCATGTACAAGATGACAAGTCTCTACAACGCGACCGCCTGGTCGGGCGCAGACCAGGTGGTATGCAGGAGGGCATGCGAAGTCAGCAAATGGGCGGTCCTTCCGATGGTGTAAGTTAGCAACAGCGCATGCAAACAATGCAGAGTAGAGAAAATATGCCATGACTAACCCGAGGGCCGGCAGATGATGAATGAGTTCATGAATCAGAACGTACAGCTCCCACAAGGGCCCGGACCTGCGTCACCCTTTGCCATGGAGCAGATGCGTAGAGAATTAGAGCGAGCCCAGCATAGCGGATCGCCAGCATGGGCAGCCGAGTTCGATCCGGGCATGCAGGCTCCCCAAATGGGCCCAGCCATGCAAGAGAGACCAGCGGGCTTCAACCCTGCTGAATTCGCAAAGTTCCAGCAAATGAATTCTGCCGCTCGGACCGCGAGCCCTACAACCGCATCACAGCCTTCCATGTCGGCGTACCAGCAGCCCATGTACGGCATGGGCATGGGTATGGGTATGGGTGGTATGGGCATGGGCATGATGCAACAGCCATATGCACCACAAAACTTTCAACAGCCCGTACAGGACTCAGGAAAGGGAAAAGGACGCATGGTCGAACTCGACGACCATGACTGGGAAGCACAGTTTGCGCAGTTGGAACAGACCGACCAACAGAACCTGGACGCGCTCGACGAGGAAGCCAACAAGGCTATGGAGGCTGAGCTGAACGAAATGGACAGGTCAGTAGAGAAAGACGCCGTTGACTTCGACGATTTCGAGTCCGTCTGGAAAGGAATTCAAGCTGAGACTGAATACGCTAGGCAACTTGCCAACGAGGAGAGATTTGTCGAAGGACACATGGGCGATCTCGACCAGTGGGAGGGTTTCGATGGTCTCAACACACATCCGGTCCGCGACCCGTCTATGGGCGACTATCTGTTTGAGCAGGAGAACCTCTTCAAGAATGTCACAAATCCGTTCGAGGAGGGTGTCAAAATCATGGAAGAAGGTGGAAACTTATCATTGGCCGCCCTGGCATTTGAAGCAGCAGTACAAAAGGATCCAAACCACATTGCGGCTTGGGTGAGGTTGGGTGAGGCTCAGGCGCAGAACGAGAAGGAAACACCCGCCATCCGTGCGTTGGAACATGCGTTGAAGCAAGACCCCTCGAACCTCGAAGCCCTCATGGGTCTGGCTGTATCTTACACAAACGAAGGCTACGAGAGCACAGCATACCGGACATTAGAACGCTGGCTAGCAACCAAGTACCCCTCTCTCATCAAGGAACCGCTCTCGTCAGATGCCGAGATGGGCTTCACAGACCGCCATCTACTCCACGAGAAGGTTACCAATCTTTTCATTCAAGCCGCACAATTATCGCCGTCTGGTGAGCAGATGGACCCCGACGTACAAGTTGGCTTAGGTGTGTTGTTCTACGGCGTAGAAGAATACGACAAAGCCGTCGATTGTTTCGGCGCCGCCCTCGCTTCCACCGAATCCGGTGTCTCGAACTCATCATCACAAGTCCACCTCCTCTGGAACCGCCTCGGCGCCACCCTCGCAAACTCGGGCCGAAGCGAAGAAGCCATCGACGCTTACTCACGTGCTCTCGCCCTCCGTCCAAACTTCGTCCGCGCCCGCTACAACCTCGGTGTCTCGTGCATCAATATCGGCTGCTACACTGAGGCAGCACAGCACTTGCTCGGTGCTCTGGCTATGCACAAGGTCGTAGAGCGAGAAGGCAAAGAGAAGGCGAGAGAAGTCGTTGGCGACGGCGTGTCAGAGAGTCAACTAGACAACATGATTCATCAGAACCAAAGCACAAACTTGTACGACACCCTCCGGAGAGTGTTTGGCCAAATGGGACGAAGAGACTTGTCGGATATTGTAGGGCCAGGCATGGATGTCGAGCGTTTTCGTGGCGAATTTGAATTTTGAAGCGGAGGATAGTAGGGACAGCATTCCTACTAGTGCTCAGGTAAACGAAGGAAACGCATCGGGGCGAGATGATAGCGAGTCGATGGTGCAACCCGAATTCCTGGACTCAATCCCGGCGCCTTGTGCCGAATTCGACGATCACGGCGGTCCCTGCTATGCTGACTACTTTGAGCAAATGGACATGACGGACGAGGAACGGGCTTCGTTTAGATGGGAATGCCTGGATGCGATTAGAAGAGATTTTGGGTTATAGATGAAAATCAAGCCTTAATCACAAAAGACATAGTTACACACATTATATAAGAAGCTCAAGTAGGCAAACGTTGCAATGAGATTGCTTCCACATTGGTTGTTGAGATGGCGAATATATTCTTCTCACCATGCAACTCTATGACTAAACGCTAGGAGAACAAAAAAGGGCATTTTGCGTGTTTCTATGGGCAGCCCTTTTCGGGGACCGCTTCCCTCCGGCTTCACGACCCCCCTAACAAAAGGACAGGAAAAAAAGTGATTGTAGAATACATGAGACCTGAACTGCACCCCTACACCTATACCACTCCATCCACGCTGTTGCACCGTTTTTTTGCCGTAAGAAGTAGTAAAAAATTCTGGATTAACAAAAGAAAAAAGAAAGAAAGAAAAGAAGTCTTGCGTTCTCCAAACCTCGAAGAAAACCCCCTCCCTCCACATATCTAAATCGTCAAAAGAAGGTTATTTAGCAAAGTGGAGATCGTATCCGAGCCATTTTCTTGCATTGACTTGAGCAACGTCGAGACCCGGGTTACCGTACGTAAGCGGCGCAAAGAAGAGGAAGCACCAGAAGACAGCGGCGAGAATGACGCCCGTTGCAATCCAGCTGCCAATGAGACTCGATGAAGCAACACGCTCGCGAACGGGGCGGGAGGGAGTTCGGCGATGGCCCTTGACGGCACTAGATACTTCAGGATCCTGGGGTTCGATGCAGAAGACAAACTCGACAAGCGCGCCAGTGACGAGGCAAGAGGCCAAGTGCGCGGGGAGGTAGTGGTGAAGGAAAAGCTGGCGTCCCATGATGTAGAAGGGGATGTAGTGAGCGGCCCAAGTGAGGAAGAAGAAACCGGTCGAGTTGTAGAGACGAGAGCGGGTGCCTACAGGTAAGAATGTTAGAACATCCCCATCGAATACAAGCGACTTTACTAAGTGAAGAATTTTGGGCTGTTTGTATGAAAGAAACAACTTACGGTCATCGAGAGCATCCATACCACGGCGGAGAGCCAGCTGGTCTGCGCCAATGATACCGACAAAGACGGCCAGAAGCGAAGAGGCAAGCCACCATCCAATAGGATTACCCAGGAAGTAAATCTGCTGGCGGGTATCGTTCTTGGTCCAGAAAGACACACCACGCAGAAGGAAAGGCCAGGAAATAGGTTGCGATGCATAGGGGTGGGAGCTCGTAAGGGCGTTGTTGTGATGGAACATGGCACGTTGAACCTCGACCCACTTCCTCAAGAAGCTCAAATGCTTAACCTTCTTAGGCTCCTTCTTGTTGCGCTCGTCTTCGGCCGGGAGCGAAGGAATGTCATCGACATACCAAACGTTGCTGGATTGCTGAACGGCCTTGTTTCCATTGATCTCAGCCTGTTTGTAGGCCCAGTCTGGCAAGGGCTTGGAGTGGGTCCACATGGCGACCTTGGTGGGGACGTGGATCAGTTTGAAGTGGGTAGACATGGTCTTAAAGTCACCCTTGCCCTTGTCGACCTTGATCTGGAAAAGCGTGTCATTGTAACGCGCACCGGCGGCATCCTCTAAGCTCACAGTCGTGAATTCCTGGTTAGTGGGGTAGTAAGGTGATGCGACATCGTGAGTCAAGAGCATAGTGTTGGTAACCAAATGGCGAAGACGAACTACGTCGCCTACCTGGACGCGCTGGCCAGCCTCGGCTGGAAGAGGAGTAGAAGGAAGGACCTGCCAGTGGTTGTTGGTATCGTTGTGGGGGTAACCGGTTACTTGCTGTCCTTGAGAAGAGACACGTCCATCCTCGTATCGGAGTGGGTAGCGGTCTGGGTGGCTGTGAAGGTAGACCTTGGTCTCCTTGTGGCGGATGGTGATGGCATCATAATAATTGATGCTAACAGACTGAAGGCTCATGACGTTGTCGCTCAAGGTTTCCTGGAACTCTGGAGTCATAAAGTCGTCACCAGGTCCGGAACGAGTAAGGATGGCGAAATGAACCTGGAACCAGAAGAGGTAGAGGAAGAAGGGGACAATAAGCAGGCCGACAAGACGAGCAACAAAGTGCTTGCCAAACTCGACTAGAGTCAATGCACCCTGTCGTCGATTGACGTCCATCAAGTCCCAAAGATCAATCAAGACCGGGACACCAATCGAGAAGAAAGTGAATACACCAACGTATTTGATGGAGATGACGCAGCTCAGGTTGATACCAGTCAACAGGAGCCACTTCCACCATTTCTGACCAAAAGGCGCATGTCTTTCCTTGTAAAAGCGAATGTAGGATAGCACAGAGAGAGCCATGAAGAAGATGAGGGAGGCATCGAGGAGGATAAGGCGCGTCTGGCCAATGTGGGCGTTGTCGAGGAGCATGAGTCCAGCAGCGGTGACGCAGGCAGGTAGCGAGTATCCGGACTCCCACATGATCATGAAGACAATGGGGACAGTAAGGGCGCCGAGCGAGGCAGGCATGGCACGGTATGCGACATAGGGAACCTTGTTGGTGATGTACGAGTCACCAATGTTCTCAAAGAGAAACTCGCCCTTGTATCCAACGAGCCATCCAGCAAAAGCAAAGAGGAGCTTTCCGAGCGGTGGGTGGACATCGAAGAAGTAGGTACGTTGCAGATAGTAAGAAGCGAACTGCGCGTGCGATTAGCCCTGTGGTCCAAGTACCCGTCGCGCCCCATTGCGTGCGAGAGACACATGTGGCGGCTTCTGGACACGGAGACATACCTTTCCAAAATGGACCTCATCAAAGACAACCTGGTCGGGATGTCTGATGCCCCAAAAGCGAGTGATGAAGGCGAGGACGGTCATGATGGTGATGGCAAGCCTGTAGTCCCATTCGCTGCCCTGCTGCGCGGGCTTGTAGGGCTTGCCCTTTGCGACGACATTGGCGACCTTCTCAACCTTCTCAGACAGGGCTTCTGGGTTGGGTGAGACAGGTCGCTTCTTGTCTTTGCCTGCTCGCTGGCGGATGCTCCCAGCAGGTGAGGAGGACATGTTGGGCTGAGGCTCTTTGAAGCTACCTGTTGAATTGCACGTTAACGCGTGTGGTTGGGGGATTTGAGCATGCGATGGCGTCCGCTTACCTCCCACAAGAAAAGAAAATGGTTGATGGAATTGGAAAGAGAGTCGGGGGCTGCTCTGCAAGAGACAGGACACCTAACTACGAGTTCAGGGTCTGAGAGGACCAGTCCGCAATGGGCGTCTCGCTTACGACCTCCCCCTGCATTGGCCGCTATTGGCCAGCCCGCCATTGCAAGCCCTATTTGGGCGAGGGGCAGAGAGGGGGCGCCGAAGGTCTGGTCAAGCCACTCGAGTATCTATTCTTGGCATCATCACGACGCGGACCGGCGCGCCCGGTGCTACTTCGTTTATTATATTACCGCGAGCGCTATCTCTCATGCCCTCGCCCACCTGCATGCACATGTCTATCTTTGCCATCCTTGTTCTGTGTAAACGGACACTCACCCACTGACCCCTCTGTGCATCAATTGCCCTTCTTCTGCTTCTCAGCTTCACGCTTCCTCTGCTGAGGTATACGGTACGTGGTCTCCCACCCGTACAGTGCTCCAGCTCCAAACACCATCGCGGCGCCCACCTTCATTAGTCCGCTCATGTGGTTTCCGAATAACCAGATGCTCAGTAAGAAACTCACCAGCTTCCTGATGTTGAGCACAATCGTGACGGTAACAGCAGAAGTGTTTGCACTAAGCATGTTGACACCAGTGATGCACAGTAATTGCGTGAGTGCGTTGGCAGTCAGGTATATGATGTGCTGGGATGTTGATGCGAGAATCGTGCTAACCAGCGGCGGGAGCGAGGCGGCCATCTTGGGAGACACCTGGAATGATTGCGATGACTGCAGACGGTTGAACTGCTGCGTCAGGGTCGGGGCGAATCCGGCAAAAAACGGAATAGACAGCAAGTGTGAGTAAAAGAGGTTGGCCTGCCAATCTTTTCCGTGATCTCTATAGATGTCTTCAACATAAGCTCCCATCCACGCTGAAAGCAGCTGTGCGATTAGTAGGACTACAAGACCAGCCTGTAGCGACGAGTTTGACATGCTGCTGCTTGACGTCTCCAGGTTTTTGCCCTGTCAACTGTCAGTGTCTGCAAACCCAAGCAGCAAAACCCACTGCCGTACCTTTGACTGAGCATCCGCCCACGCAGAAACCATGACACCGAGCGTTAAGACTGCAACCGAGAAAACCTGCAAAGGTGTGTACTTCTTGCCACGCATCCACCCAGCTATCATGGTAGTGACACTACCAAAGCTCCTGAGAATAATGTGGACCGGAACCGAGATGTTGAAAGCAAATGCCCAGTTGTTCAACATGTTGACTGTGAAGAACAAAGCTGCGCTCACGCACCACTTCCGGAATGGTACTGGTGAGCTCCTCATATAGTAACGACCATTGGGATCGAATTGGTAGTGTAATGTCGAGAGACAAGTGAATACGAATTGAAACAGCGTGATCAGCAAACCGCTATTAGGCTCTTGTCTGTCTCTACATTAGCACCTGCATTGTGCGCATTGGGCATGCTGATGTTACTTTACGATTGCCTCGAGACAATAGACCTTGTATTTGTCAGTATTGAACATGCAAAAGGCAATAGAAGGACTAGGGTCTTGTTCTCACATTTGCGCAACATCCTCCAAAGATGAGCGAGAAACTGCTGACAATTGGTGCGATGGCTGCCATGATGGCCGAGTGCTGAGCCAGAGGCTATAACGTGACTACCAAATTTGAGGGTTAAGATGTAGGGTCGACCAAGCCAGG